ACTGATGACATGGAGCTGCGAGGTGCAGTCACCTGCTGGGGGGAAGAGAAGGGAAGGGATGACATCCAGAGGGACCTGAGTAGGCTGGAGAGGTGCCCAGACTGTAGGTCCCACACCTACACTCTGGGCAGAGAAGAGATTGAGAGCAGCCACGCAGAGAAAGACTTGAGGATGATGTTGGTGAACAGCTCACCATGAGCTGGCAGTGAGTGCTCTCAGCCCAGAAAGCCAAAAAGATCTTAGGCTAAATCCAAATGAGCATGGTCAGCATGTCAAAGGAGGAATTGATTCTCCCCCTCTGCTCTGCTCTTGCGAGAAACCACCTGGAACACTGAGTCCAGTTCTGGTGTCTCCAACATAAGAAGGACATGGGAGTTGTCAGAGCAAGTACCTGGGAGGCCACAAAGTTAGTAAGAGGGCTGGAGCAACTCCCCTACACCAGAACTGGACTCAGCACTCCAGGCTGAGAAAGTCAAGGCTGTACAGCCTGAAGAAGAGAAGCTTGTGTGGAGACCTCAGCACTTTCCAGGAGCTGAAGCGGCTCCAGGAAGGCCAGAGAGGAACTCTGCATCAGGAGCTGCAGTAATGAGACAAGGAGAAATGGGTATAAATTGAAAGAGGGGAAATTAAGCGGGGATATTAGGAAGAAATTCTTTACTGTGCGGGTGGTGAGACATTGTGTTCAAGGCTTGGTTCAATAAGGCCTTGAACAGCCTGCCCTAGTGGGGAGTGTGCACTAGATCATCCTTAAGGTCCCCTTCAATCCCTTAACATTCTATAATTCTGTGACTTAAGCAGAAAAAACACCCTGCAGCATTGACAATCTTGACCTCCTCTTTCTTCCCTATGCCCAGTGTTCATCTTCCCTTGCAAAATCAAGAATCTCCTGCCCCTTCATTCATCCTAAAGTGGCCATCCTAAAGTGCCACCTCACCCCAAAGAACACAGTACACTCAGCAGGTTTCTGAACATGTTGCCCAGATCTGTCCTGCCATATCAAAACATGTTTTAGGAGACAGCATTCCTCTTCTCTACTGAGAATGTTTTTAGTAAACACCTGTGGGTCTCAGATTCAGTCAAAGAAAGAAACTGAGAGTTTCTAGCCAGGCAAAAAGCCTGGGAAAGAGCTGGAAAAGAATGTAAATAATTCTTTATCTCTCTTGTTTTTTCACATTGTTTATAGTTAAGTTCTATCACTGTGCATCAAGCACTCTGCACCAATGCTTTGGATTGTTTTCACTTCAGAACCAATGCAGTTGGTCCTCACAAAGCTCTGTATAAAGGAGCTTTGAATATTTTGAATAAAGTGGAGTCTTACTTTCACAGCCTTCTGAGTCAAGTCTATTCACTCCCATCCTGCCTCGACAGCAGCAAACACCCAACATGGAATTTTCAACTAGATATGTCTTTATAATCAACTAAGATAATGGATATTTTAGAAAAGGAACTTGAAAGTTTTATAGTGAACACCATAGCCTATATATTCTCAAAATAGCTGTTTCAAAACCAGAATGCTCTGTCAGACACAGGAACACCTTGTCAAGAGCTCAGAGCACACCCATGTCTGTGAGACAGGCCAGCTCCATCAGCCTGCTCCATTTAATGAGTGAAGCAGAGCCTGGTGGCAGGACCACCTGTCCTGTGCTGCTGACTGGAATCAGGGCTAGGGGCTGTGCATCCATAATTCTTTTCTTCATCTTTAACAGCCTGGCTCATTAAAAAAGCCTTGATTTCAGGCTGCTCAGTGAAAATTATAGCAACTATTTATTTCACTTAACAAAACTACTTGTCTGATCTCTTCTGTTCATGTTTTCAACTGCATACTGAATTTGCCCATTTTTTGAAATTAAGAGACATTACACCAAAGGGAAAATAGTCATCAAATCAATTAGAACTATTAACTCTAGCCCTTTGTAAGGCCTTTGTTTGACTGTGCTTTGCTGTTATTAGTCTGGGAATTAATACTGTTACTTTCTTAAGTTATACAAGTATTATAAACATGAATAAAATTTAGGAACTAGTCCTCTGGCATTTTTGAGCAGTAGGCGAACTCTTTCAAGTAATTCATTCCACAAAGCTTATGTTTTTGTTTGCTGATCAGTTTGCCTTGTGTAAGAATAACTTATTCCTTTATTGTTTACATTATTCCACAGCAGTCAAAAAATTATTTCCCTTTTATTTTTCATTAATTTCTTTTTTGTCCTCTAATTGTACAATTGCCTAAAGAGATTAAAAGAAAATTTTGTTTTTCAGAAAATAAAGCTTCAAGTCAAGCTGAACAGATAACTCATACTTTCCTCAAATCATACAGCCTCAGGCTGGGAGTATAAGAAATTTTTCCTTCAATAATTAACTGGCTTATTAGATGGAGAATTTAAGGAGCTAGCTATTCATATGTCCCACTGTGATGACTGCACAAACCCAGCTTACAGGTATTACCCATGCAGAAATTAAAGAGAATGGGAAAAAAGTGAAGTACAAAAGTGTTCAGACTGTAACAGCCCAATTTACTTCACTAAGCATTCTCACAGGGGTTGTTTGGGGAAAGAGAACAAATTTGAATAACTGCTCTCTCAAGGTTCCATCTGAGTTTGTCTCTAATCACCCGAAGTTGTTTCTGATGGATTTCAGCTGTATAATTCAAACCTTTGACAGGAACTTCTCTGACACTATTTGTCTTTTCAAGCAGAGCTGACACCTGTAACAAAACTGACATTATGTGCTTTCTTGCTTTTTAATCAGGTTCCTTTATAGCCTTATCTCCAGGATGACTTCAAGAGGCGGCAAGTGGCATCAGACCTATTCTGCATCAATGTTAACATGCACTGTGCTCTTCACCTCAAGCCAATGTGACCCCATCAATGTAATTCACTGCATCACCAACATGCCCTGACTTTCAAACAGCAAGCCCAGCAGTCGTGTGGTCCAGGCTGAATATGGCTGTAGGTCTCAAGTCTCAATTTCTGTTTTCAGGAAACACTTTAGAAGTACTTGAAAGAAATGGTTTCTGTGTTAAAAACGGAGAAACAGTAAAGAGGTAGAGACCAGCAAACTAAAATATTGCCGTTTTTCTGTGAGACCTATTTTGTCTCTTTGAGGTTTGCTTTACAGTTACAATTATCTTCCAGACATCCTTCACCCTTTAAAAATTTTCTTACTTTGATAAGCTCAACAATTTTTAGGTTACCAATCACAGTTCACACAATATTTGAAGAACTATTTATACTTCACAGCCAGGAGACAGTACCACAGAAGAACCATAAGCCTTTGTAGTGCTCTTTTCCAAGTGGCCTCTCTTATGTCAGGTAAACCACTGGATGTTTTTTCCCCTATTTTTGCTTTTCAAGCACATAAAATTTGTCCTTATAACGTGAGGACACACTTGTTCAAGGAAAAGTGGCTAAACACAGAAACACCAACTGAAGAATGTCATGAATACTTCTATGGTGAGTATAAATTGCTCGCCTTCCTCATTTGCTCCCCATCTTCAAAACACTGAGTTACTATCAGTTGCTGTATTGGTACAAGTTTGGAGGGAATTTATTTTTTCTTGCACACATCTTCATGCTGCAGAGTTGCTATTGCCATTTGAGTAAGATGGCACATTAGCTGTACCCCAGTGGACTTATTTTGCTATGTTGGGGTGACTTTTTAAAATCTTGCACTAATTCTAGTACTTAGCAGTTGAGATCATTTTACAATCCAAAGTCCAATTTAACTCTTTTATCAGATTTATAAGTGTATCAGCTGCTTACCTACTCCTTGTTTTTTTTCCAGCTGCCATGGTAGCAGATGTCTGTCACTTAGTTTGAGACAAAAAAAAAAAAAGTAAAAAGAAATTGTATTTTCTTGGTAGCAGCATTTTTAAAATTGACTTTTTTTTCTAGAGTTAAACACCTGCATATAAAGAGAACTACAAAATCTGCTCACTAATTTAACACCTCTTAATACTAGCAGCTTGAGTTCAAGTATTTTCTTCAGCTAGCAGGCTTGAAAAGTGACCCAACTTAAATGTATTACCCTGTATTACCAAAAAAAAAAAAAAAAAGAAAAAAAGAAAAAAAAAACAAAACCCTCAAATTTCTTTGGCATATTAAGATGTCTAAAGTAAGGAGAGTGCAAGTGGGGCAAAGCCCTTTGCAAAGCCCTTTGGTGTGATTACTGCCCTGTGCTTCCCAGAATTAAGCTGCAGGCAACAGAAAAGAACTTTGCAGCCAGCAGGTCTTCCTTCTCATTACTCAAAGACACAATGTTGATATAGTTAAATATTTCCTAATTAAGATGAAGAAAACATAAAAGACCAATACATCAAACAAGTTAATGTAGTCAACTACAACAATTACCTTAATCAAGTCTTGAAATGTTGCATCTGAGATGAACTCTCTTCAAACAATAAAGCTTTGGCTGTGTTAGAAGCACCTATTCATCATTTAATGAACACTCAGAACACAACCAATAAATTAAGTGTGTGTTTTGCATTACCCTCTCTGTAATTTACAGGTCAGGTCAATGAGCAATAATGTTGTTACTACAACAGAAAAATGCCTGCAACTTCAGGCTTTATATTTAATTGTAAAGCTTCAGTTCCATGTTAACACAATAGTCAATGTGATTTCATAACACAAATTCATCTGTTCTCTGAAGATACTAGATTTTGCTGTTCTTTTTCTATAAATCATCTCAAGGAACTTTTTTTTTCCTGCAAATACAGACAGCAAGATAGCAAGTTCAACTTAACCATACTTTATTCATTCTACCAAAACCCCCCACAGCATAAAATTAAGAAATCCCAGTTCCTGCACACTATTCTGAGACCCATTCTTTGATAAAAGACATCAGTAAGAGTATATGAATATTGCACAGGCTTATTCTTCACAACTGAACTCCTGTGGGGGAAGCAAGAATGAAGTGAGCGAAAGAAAATACAACATGCTTTCAGAGACATATTCAATATTGCTAAATTATTATTAGATTGGAGCACTGGATTAAACAAACAAACAAACAAGTAAGTGCTTTAATTGTAAATTTTATGTAGAAACTAGTAATAATATTGGACTATTTATTGAGTTTTGCTTTAAAACTATTTTAACATTGCTATCAAAAGGAAGCACAAAGATGTATCCTTTGAACAAGTTTTCATTATAGAATTGTAAGTGCATATGATAAACTAGACCAGCATGGGAAACTTCAGAGGAACAGAAAAGGCAAAAGTACAACTTATTTCTAAATGCTAGTGCTTAAGTCTTAAAGCATGCTGATAGGTAGCAATTACTAGCTGCACATTAATTGCTTTGTATATAGAAACAATCTACTAGGACTATCAACATGGTAAAAAAGAGGTCAGACTAATCATACAGGATATATCTATGCATGTTTTTAATAACTAACTATTTTCCTAATGAAGTTTAATCAGACAGGCATTCCAGACAAGCACTATTTCTACAATTGTGTCAAACTGTTTTGCACCTACAATGTAGATATAATAGGTAGCAATTTTGGACAGTCACTTTAATTTCTTTAACAGCCAAAGAAACAATATATGTGTTTCTAAGGAATTGATTATTTCATCCTAAAGTGGGTGTGCCTGTAAGGATCAGGCAAATCCCATTTTTCAGCTGTTTTTTTTTTCTACCAGTGACTATAAAGGGATTATAGCCAGCTGCCTCAGTGGCATGACACCCATTCTTGAGGATTAGTTTGTCCTTAGCAGCAATTCTTCAATAATCACACAAACCGTTGAAGTGGCAAGCCATGCTGGAAAAGCAGCTAATTACACTTAGAGTTAATTGGTCTTAACATTATGGTCATGCACTTTGTATCATAGAATCATTTAGGCTAGGAAAAAAAAGACCTTCAGTCCAACTATAAACCTAATATTGCCAATTCCACCACCAAATCACACGCCTAAATGCCACATCTACAAATCTTATAAGTACCTCCAGGCTAGTGACTCAGCCACAGCAGCCTGCTCCGAGGCTTGGCAACCATTTCTGTGAGGAAATCTTTCCTGTTATCCAATCTAAACGTCCCCTGGTACTACTTTAAAAATAATTCTGAAAAGAATCATTTAAGTTCCATGCATTGGAAGCAAGCACTTCCAGTTTAGGAAGAAATGCAACAGACTAATAAATTGGAAAATCAAATATTGAGCTAAGGCCTTAGTGTTACCCTCAAGAAGCACTGTAGCCTACTTAAGCTCAAGCAGCCCTTATTTTATTGGCACAGTGAAAACTCCAATAGGGAAGTCTTCTTTAGGGAAATGGAGAATTGTTTAAGAGATTTAAGAAATACACCCCAATCAAAGACATCCATGCTTCTTTCATTGCAGCCAAAACCTCCAAATGCTATTCAAATAGTGCAGCCCTCAACTGAAGGGAGGCCTCAGTCTTGTTCTGGGTCTTGTTTTGATGGAGATAATGATATCAGATCCAGACAAAAAAGTTGTTTTAGAATCCAGCTTGGAGACCCTTGTCTGGAGACCCAGGCTCCCTGCAAATACAGAAAGATGGTGCTGAGGACAATAAACACTCTACCATGAAATAATACAGCCTAGTAAACCTCTCACTTTTCCAAGACACCGCCAATCCCCTTAAATTACATTAAGATGTCTCTCCTGGTGCTCCACTACTAATCTAGTGTCATTCCAAATGACTGAAGTCTAATGGCAAAAGTCTTGCAGGAGAGCTGACGACCAGCAAAAAGTTCTGGTTCAAGTGCTCACATTGCAGCTGGCAAAACCAATTCCACCTCCAGCTGCTGTCTTTACTGCTCTGCTCAGCCACTAGCAGCACAATTATTTAAAGATGATTTTCTTGTCTTAATAATTTTATTAGAATAGTTCTATCATATCAGTAAACAGTTAAAGGAAACATTTTACAATCATCTTCACAGTAATTCCTACAGTTAATGCTGTTTTGGCATTTTAACTGTAGCCATCAGTCTTCAAATGCACAAAATAGTAAAAATTTACCTTTAGCACACAATGATTTGGCCAAGTAGCAGTGCTTGGATTTTTGTCTTTCAATCCAGTTGTTTTATATCTGCATGCATCTGAATTTTCAAAAGCAATTGAGAGGCAACTGAAAAGAAAAAGGATGGTTTTATCACACAGCACTTTGCTTTTCCATTTTAGAACTGCTATACCTTTTTTTTTTCCATAGGCATATAGGAAGGTCAGAGAGCTCAAGGAACCTCAAAAAGCTTTTCAACTATCCGAGAGGAAAATTTCCACAGGCTTTTACTTGCAAAACCTCATGAGGTAAAATAGAATTTACAAGATTAATATAACAAAAAAGCCTCTTGAGAACAGCAGCTGATAGTATCAATGTTTAATTCTATGTATAAATGCAGTTCCATGGCTCCAGTAGACTGTAATTTTTTTGACATTTATCACGGAAAAAGTGAGCATCTACAGTTGTTAAATGATAGAGAAAAAAACCTATTCTTAATTACTTTTACATAAAGATTGAATTGCTGTTGTATACAGTATGCCCAAAGACATGGGTCCAACACCAAACTCTCTTTATTTCTCATCCATCATAGATGAGTACAAGGGCAGCATTCATGATGATTTGAAAATCCCCATGTAAACCACATCTGCATCTAAGCACAGTCATCCCTATACCAACACACATCTTCAAATGGCTTGGAGTTTTTTCCATTCTAACAAAAGCTCAACCATAGCATTGTCATATTTTTAAGCATACATTGCACATGGAAGTTCTACACTTAACAAACAAAAACTTATGTTTTCCATCAGAAGGCACACTTCTGTTTTCAACAGAGTGAAGGTTGTTCTTCTCCTGTCTTCCCTTCATCCTTCCTCTTAATTAAGGTACAAAGAGTTTTACTATGGCTGCTTATGCCAGAAACCTTTTGAGAGGGAAAAGTCTTGTGGTCAAAGCTGTAGGCATTTTTTCTCAGTACAATAATACTAATCAGTCAAAATAACATAAGAATACATTTCAGAACTAAATTATTATATGATATGATATGATATGATATGATATGATATGAAACAGGAAAGTATCTAAGACACCGTTTGAGGATTGGAGGAATTCTAGACAGAAAAAAACAGAAGTAATTTATCTATCAGATTTTGGGAAGAGGTCAGACTGACAGAATAAAATGTAATTTAAGCAATTTTTTCCTTGCCTTTCCATTGGCTTTGTGAAAGTTAACGGTATACTTATATCACAAATCAATTGAAGAAAGAGTGGTTCATTACTTCTAATACTTAAGTATTAGAAATAGTTCTCATTTCCAAGTGTTTAATTTTTTCAAGCTGTGCAAGGATAATGCAAAATACTAGCAAATTTTTCACCTAAAATACCAAAAGTTTAAGACTGAAAACAAAGTATTATCAAATATTTTTCTTTCTTTCTTTCTTTCTTTCTTTCTTTCTTTCTTTCTTTCTTTCTTTCTTTCTTTCTTTCTTTCTTTCTTTCTTTCTTTCTTTCTTTCTATCTTTCTTTCTTTCTTTCTTTCTTTCTTTCTTTCTTTCTTTCTTTCTTTCTTTCTTTCTTTTCTTTCTTTCTTTTCTTTCTTTCTAAGAGAGACTTGGCAAGTCTGTCTATTTCAGCATAACCTAAAGTAATAATAGGGATATGGGAATAGAAAGAAGTCAGAAATAGTCTACTTTGAAATAGTAGACAAACTCCTACAAAATGGCATTAGTCTTTGACTGACCAAACTTTTTGAGTTTAGGTATTCAATAAATAAACTTAAGTAAAATTTTGCTACTCCCTTAAGGCTTCTAGTTGTTGTTTTTTACTCATTAGTTCATTCAGCACAAGGAATTAAATCTATACTGCAACATTCACATGCTACTGGAATTTTACTCAGCAGGTTTCTCCCTGCTGAGTTGCTCTCCTGCTGATTATCTGCTACCTGTACAAAGGCAGTAAGATATCACCAAAACCTGCCACCTACACTCCTTTCTCTTAATAAGGACAACTAATACTACATTTTTATATCCCAATCTGTAAATGCTCTTCTGCATGTCATAGCTTTTACTTCAAAGAGAAGCCAAAAATTCCACCTTGTCATTATGCCTTCTGGGAAACCACATCAATAGCTCTACACTGAGCTGCATCACTCAGTACCTTGTGAAACCTACAGCATGCAGGGTTTTTTAAATCATTTATTACTGAAGTGCTCTGCACAAACATATTTTAATGACCAGCAGAAGTAGTGGTTTTCATGAAGCAACAGTAACCTATATGGACATGGATTATGTGACAAGCAGCTGTGTTTCTAAATACTAACCACTGTCAGCCAAAGCAGTGGGACATTGACACAACATTCAGGTATTTCCTCTTCTCCTTATTTTTAGTAAATGGCACTTGCCTTCCACTGAGCCACTCACCATCCTCCTACTCCATCACACACAGAACACCCCAGGCAATCAGTAAGGCTCTGCCAGTGATCAGCTTCAGAATACACAGCATGACCTTCACAGGCCTGTTAGGCAACATTCCAATGCCCCTGTCATGGTAATGAGAATCATTTCCTATAATCTGATATTTTTGTCACGTTGTCTTCTTCCTATCCTTCATGTCCAAGTTGCCAAACAAAAATGGGTTACAAGAGCGTTTGTGAATGCTTTCATAACAGGTCAGGCATGTTTCTAGCTGTGGTCAAGAGCCATTGCTTTGTAGGGTCAAAAGGATCATGATGCTGCAGAAAAACTTAGTTCAAGTTTGTGAAATAACTGCAGACCTCTCCTGCATCTTAGAACCTCGGTAATTTATTTGGTAACTTCAAAGACATTACAGGAAGCCATGAAACCTTTTGGTTCAAAATCTTCTAGATTTCAAGAGGACAAATATGTGCTTAAACATTTCATTCCTTTAAGTAATTCCCCTGGGCTTCAGCTCTTGTGTGTCTTTGAGTGACAAATTTATAAAAAGACATTTCATCCGTACTCCTGTTTTCTACAGCACTTCTTTTTTAAAAACTCAGTTTGCTCACATAAGTCTACTCATTATGCATAAAAAGTTGCCTCCATTGTGTTATTTCCAGTTCAGTATTTGAACTGACATAATTTCGAGTTAGAAGGCTAGAGGAAAACTGAATAATATATTGTCTTAAATGCAAAATATAGTTTGGTAAGAACAAGACAGGTCAGCTCAGTTACATTAAGAATTTGGCACACTCACCTCATTCCTTTCCTTGATCCTGTTCCTACAGAGTACACAAATGTGGAGTTGTAGTGACAAACCTGTCATTGTTCTCTTTGACAAATGGGTTCACCTACATCAGACATAAAGGGTTATTTTACACACAGCTTATTATCTAAAACAATACATTTTCATTACCAGTTTCTAAAGCTTCATTAAAAGTTTTGACCTTTTCCCACTGGTCTCCTTATTTAAAGCCTTAACAAGTAGCTTTAAAAATTGGCAATAATATTGATTTCTTAATGTGCCAATTGAAGTACAGATCTGCATATTCCTCCCCCAAAGGCTGAGTACATCTTCAATTCTATTTCAGATACCTAATCTTGCAATCCCTCTGCTTTATATACTGTACTTGAATTATTTCACAGCTGTTGTTTCTTAGCTTTGCTCATTTCTATTCCTCATGTCTTCTACATTTTAAAGTTTGTTCACATTTTACTATCCCCTTCCAAAATATCTCATGTGTCTTGACTTGTCTGCTTTCCAGATTCTAATGTATATCACCTAACTAATGTATATCTCCCAGATGTTTGCTACCTCAACAGCAAATAATCTCACTATCTCATAAGGGAGGCAAATTTATGGAAAAAGTAGTATAGCTCATGGAAATACACATGGCAAACGATCCCTCAACAGGCACTAGCAAGAGAGGCATTTTTAGACTTGATCATTAATCAGAAACATCCTGATTAAAGGGCTCTGATATTCAGGGAGTTTAGGAACACAGCCAGCAAACAAAAAGTATCATTGAGTCCTCTTACTTGTACTCAAGAGCCATAAAGCTGTGAAGGACTTAACAGCAGACACTGAGAAAGGACTTCCTTCTCTACACAGAGAAGGGATCATCTGAAATAAAAGCTTATTTTCAGGCTCTGTAAAGGCACATCAATTCTGCAGCTAGCTCACAAGGATATTCTTCCCCCAAATACAGGAGCGTAGTTTTCCATGCTTGATCAGGTAAATGCTTTGCTTTCATTTTCCTTCTGTTTTATTGCCTGTTAAGTGTCACAATGTCACATCGCAAGGGCAATTCCCTGCTGAGTTCCTACTGAGGCAGAAGAGCTTTTGGTTTGCTCACATGAAGCTCTGCTGAGTAAACCATTTCTAGAATTCTGTTTCCCAAAACTTTTCTCACACAGCCTTCAGGTAAACACAAAATGAGGTACCACAAAGCCAAGGAAGGTGCTGGTTTAAGTTTTTTAAAAATTAAAATAAGGTCTGTGTTCTGGGTTCAACTCATCTGCAGCAGATTTGACCTTGGCAGAGAACATTGCGCTGTCTCAGATCACCAAGCAAGAGGAAATCCTTTTTGCTATGTGGTCATTCAGATTCATTTTTCTGATTTAGATGCTGCCTACAGTGACTCACACTACTGAGATCACATTGACTCAAGAGTGCAAGTTATGCTGCAGAAGTTCACTGTTAAGGTTCTCATCTAGCTACAGTCTTCACACAAGCCACTTTTACAGAGACACCACTGAAAAACACTTTAACTTTCCGAATTTTCCAGATTCACTGCTGATTTAAAAATCAAAAATTTCCACAGTAATTCTTTCTGTACCCTAGGACACTGCTTAATGCACCACAGTCACACATTGGCCACTGCTCTCTCATTTTTTCAGTCTATCTTATTGTAAAGCAGCCCACTGATTCCTGATATCATCAGTCCAGATCAATTTGAATTTCATCTACCTTTTACCGACAGGTATTTAAACACATCCTGCTTTGAATACCTGAAGTCACAGTTTATTTCATGCTCCATTAACAGAACAGGTAAGCTTGTGGGTTTACAAGACATATATGCAAGTACAGAGAGTTATTCCAGCCAATGCTTTTAGTTACAGCTCCAATTGCATTCAGGTTCTCTCTCTCCCCCTTTCTCCCCACAGAAA